GGAGCCACACCAGCCAGGGCTGTTGGCACTTTTTGAAACGAGGATGGAAGACAAGCTGGGATATAACATCCACCAACTTCCTGTCCTGACCTTCCTATTCCTTTATCCCGGTTCCTTGTGGATTTTGCTCTCTCCTTCTCCCTTGCTTTCCTCCTGGAGTTTCATGTGAACCCTACGTTTGGCTGGCCTACCTTAGAGATCGACTCTTTTTATAGTTCTTCTATTTGAAGTTTACTGAAATAAAAAAGAATTTCATTAATATCTTTTCATAACATGCCATTCAAACTGTGCTATTTTTTTCTATTCCAGGGAAATCACACAACAAAAATTGTGCAGATTGTTGTCTATGATGTAAGAATATGCAAAAACTTGTCTAGCTGCTCCAGATAAACAAAAAACAAAAATGGTATCTTAATTTAAAATATAATCAGACTTTAGACTTTATCTCCAGAAATGGTGTTTTAACAAAACCTTTTTATTTTAATGTTCTTGTAGATACTTTATTCTTCAAACTTTTGTAGTTAATATCAGTTTGTTACTTGTAGCAACATTGTATTATGTATAAAAAATATCAAGGTAACTTCTTCAAATTTATGATAAGATTTAAGCACTGGTTTAAGAGATATGAAATAAAGCCATTGCTAGAAATTGAGGCCAGGTTTATTTTAGGTTTGATTTTTGAAAGAAAAAAAAAAAGATTCTAAAAATACAATGCTGTTGTTCTCCATTCTTTTTCCACACTCTTTTCAAAAGGTAGATACATAGGTCTGTCTCAAGAGCCACAGCGAGAATTGTCTTGATAAGATGCAAGATGGAAAAATAAGAGTTAATGTTCTATTTCTAACTCAATTCCTTCTACACTGATTTTCTCTCATATTAGTATATGGAAAAAGAATAACAAGGAAAAAGAGATAGAAAATATATAGCACAAGATCATTTAATTTTTACCTATTCTTTCCTTTCCTTTCCATTGAGTTAAAAGTCAAGGCTATGGGTATCAAAACAGCAAACCCCAAAAACTGTTGGATAGTCCTAGATATTAAGCTATTGAGATTATCCTTCCTAGCTCTGCCTTTTGTCAGCTTACTATATGACTCTGTGATACTGGCCTTATCAGAAGGAATTCCCTGATTAGTTGTCTTCAAATGGAGACTCTCATCTCAATCAGTAACCTAACTAGGGGTCCTCCCTTGGATCTCTCTCCTCACCCCTGACCCCGCATATCTCCGTTTCCTAGAGATGTTATTATTATAATAATTATTATTATTGACCTCAGAGAGGAAGAGGGAGAGATAGAAACACCAGTGAGAGAGAATCATTGATTGGCTGCCTCCTGCACACACACTACTGGGGATCGATCTTGCAACCTGGGCATGTACCCTTGGCCGGAATCGAACCTGGAACCCTTCAGTCCACAGGCTGACGCTCTATCCACTGAGCCAAACTGGCTAGGGCTTCCTAGATGTTTTTATGAACCCTCTGAGAGTTTCACTGTTGGACAATTTCATATGGCTTCCTCCACTTCTGTTCATATCATTTCCTCTGAGATGGCCTTCCTCTTCTCAACAGGGCCTGCTTATCCTTCCTGCAGGTCTCCACGTGAGTTCTTGGCAACTCAGGCCTGTACACATGGACTGCTTCCTCAGCCCTCCACTGTCCCCGTGTGGGTCTTTTGGTGCAGTAGCCTGATCTGCCTTATGATGACTCTGTATGATCCTTATTTTCTTTTCCCTTAACAGGCGTCTTCAAACTACGGCCCTCGGGCCACATGCGGCCCGCCAGGTTTTTTGGGCAGTGAGCGCAGCCGAGGTGTTACAGTAGGAATTAGTAGTTCATATAGTCCGGCCCTCCAGCTCTCTGAGGGACCGTGATCTGGCCCCCACTTTAGAAAGTTTGAGGACCCCTGCTAGAACTTTAAAATTATCACTGATCCATGCATGACCCCCTTTTCTTTTCTTTTCTTTCTTTTTTTTATTTTATTGATTTCAGAGAGGAAGGGAGAGAAAGATAGAAACATCAATGATGAGCATCACTGATCAGCTGCCTTCTGCTTTGCCCCCTCACCAAGGACTGAGCCCGCAACCTGGGCATGTGCCCTGACTGGGATTCTAACCACGATCTCCTGGTTCACAGGTCAATGCTGAACCACCGAGCCACACTGGCTGGACTGACGCACTTTTTAAAAAATACGATTACCTATGAACTTACCACCACACCTGAGAACTACATCATTACCAATAACTTACAGGCACCTATGTGTCCTTCCCCATCACATCCTTCTGGTCTCCCAAAGATAACTATTATCCTAAGTTTAATGCTCATCTTTCTCTTTCTTTAAAAAAAAAAAAAAAAAAAAAAAGTATATTTCAACAACATATAAAGTTGTAATTGATGATTTCTGTTTGCTTGTTTCCCTGGCATGTAAATTAGTACAATTGTGGGAAATAATTTGTTAATATTTAGTAAGTTAAATATTCACACACCCTATAAATCAAAAATTCTATACCTAGTTATATGGCCAAGAAAAACACTTACACATGTGCCCCAGAAACATGAATGATCTGAACGGCACTCTGCAATATTTTTAATGCAAAAAAAAAAAAAAAAAAAAAAAAGCCATTAACAGGGAAAGAGGGAAATATTTGTTACAGACACATAATGTATGACTCTTAGTGACACAATGTTGGGGGGAGGGCGGGGGTGTCACAGAGGTCAACAGAGAATATAAGACCTTTTTCCCAAGATTAAAACCAGACTTTAAAAAAAGAAGAGGGGTTAGAATTATTACTTCACCATTTCAGTAAAAGAAAAAAAAATCCTTATTTTGAGAATTCAGGCCTTGTCCTCCCAAACTAGATGACAAACTCCTGAGGGCAGGAACTTTTTCATTCTTATTTGTATCTCCCACATGCCTAGACCAATATCTTGAACAGATGGTGTTCAATAAGTAATTATCCACTTAATGCTTACTGAATGACTTAATAATTTAAAATTTAAATCTTTTCCCTCATCCAACAGTGTCGTGAATAAAGCTGGAAAAAAAAAGTTTATTTATGTATACATTAACTTAGTTCTATTTCTGCAGTGGTAATCCAGGTATCCAACCACAAACTCTTCATCCTGGACCTACTTTCCCTCTCTTCTTCAGGTAAAGTCAACATACAGCCAAAGCAATCTAGGGATAAGAAAACATATGATCCTGTAAAAGTCCAACCAAATCATATAACCAAGAGACAACTAACAAACCATCATAATATGGGACTGCGATATCCTAAAAGGAATACATCCACTGAATGTATAATTGAGTTATCTCCTCAAAACTGAAAATATGAGCAAAAAACAGGTTTTTTAGACTTTCTAAAAGCAAAGATTTAATTTCAAAGGATTTTGTTTCTTCTTCGAGAAAAAAAATATTTATTTAGGGGAAAACATGAAATTTGGGGTAAAAGAATAATATGAATAATATTCCACCAATCAGGGCCTTCCTTATAAACCAATGAGAGCTATGCATATTCTCTGTAGGTGATTATAGCGGAATTACGCTGCAGCTTCCCTTCGACCTTGGAGAACTCTGCTCACTCTGAGTTACTGCGAGGGCTTCTGTTTCATTTATTATTAGTCTTTGTATCTGCAATGCTGTAGCATCTGAAAGGATTATCAACACTGGGGGCTTGCAGTGCCTAAAACTGTAGAAATGATTCCAAAAGCAAAGTGGGGAGTGGGCGGATTATCGCCAAGAGGAACACAAAGTGAAGGATATTAAGATGGGATATTTTCTCATTTTACTTTTGAAGGAATGCCGCATTTAATTAGCGGTGTAATAGATTACCACCCATTTGCATGCAGCTTTTAAATTTAAAAAAAGACATTCAAGAAAAAAATATTTTATTTGGGGGAAAATATCACAACTGAATACAACATACAATTTGCTAAAACTACTCCAGCAATTGGAAAAATGGAAATTCTAATAAGAGAAAATACCTATAGGACTTTTGGGTCCGGGGGGTGGGGAGGAAAGAAAGAAAGAATCTAGCACTCCTTGAGGGTTCACTTAGTTTCATGTCAATTGCTTCATTCCATTATGTAATGCTTTCCCCAGCTTTAGATCTGTTTAGGCTACCGTTCCGGCATATCACCGATTGCCACAAAATCAGTATAGGTCATGCAGATGTGCCTTCTATTCAGTAGAGGCTTTAAAAAAAAAAAAAAATCTGCTGCTGTCATTACTTCTCCCCGGCTTCCTCCCCAGCTCTCCCATCCCCTCCTCCCCCAGATGCCCGGGCGACGGGAGCTGCGGGCAGTGGCCGGCTGGCTGCAGGGGCAGCACGTCTCCACTGCAATGCCAACGCCGTCCGGGTCTGAACCGGGAGGGCAGATCGGCCCGGCCGGGTGCGGACGGAGGCTGCAGGGCAGGCTGCAGGGGCGCCGGCAGCGGGCTGGCAGGGGTGCCCCGCGGGGGCAGTCCGCAGTGCACGCGCTCCATAACGCCAAATGCACAACTTCCCCGGGGCCGCTCCGCCCGATCCCGGATTCCTCCCGGGGAAGGGGCGGCGTGGGCGGCAGCGGGAGCGGGCGCGGGTTCGGTTCTCCGCTGGCAATTACATCAGTCCCTCTGCTGCCCCGGCTCCGTGCCCCGCAGCCTGGGGGAGCCCGCGCGGGGGCTGCGGGCACGGGAGCCGGGCGGCCGGAATTCCCCGACACGAGGAGGAGGAGAGGAGGGCGGCGAGTGGGGGGGGACCATGACCCAGCGCCCCCTCCCACCTCGGCTGCTGGGCTGGACCAGCATCGCCGACCCCAGCTCCCGAGCGCAGAAGCTGTGCGGCCAGGGGAAACCCCTCCCCGCCCCCCCAAGGATGCTCCAGGGGCCCAGAGGGAAGCTGCCCATCCGCGCGCCCCTAAGAGTCCTCGGCCCTCCGGACGCGCACAATGCCCCCCGGACCCGGCACGGGCGCCGTCACATCCGCTCCGGGGGCACCCTCTGCGGCGGCCAGGACACCTACCTGGGAGGCGAAGGGCCGCCGATCCTGCGGCGGGAGGGAGGCGGGAGGCGGAGGCGGCCCCGGCGGGCAGGCGGCGCGCGGCGGGCTGGGGAGCGGAGCCCGGTCTCCGGCTCCGACAGCGGTGACGGCGGCGGAGCTGCGCCCCCAGTGGTCCGCGCCGCAGCCCCTCCTCCCCCGGGCGGGGCGCTGGCGGGGCGGCGCTCCGGGCTCCCCGCCCCCGGCTGGCGGTCCTGGCGGGAGAGGGTCCGAACCCTTACCGGGCACCCCGGGGCGGCGCGGCCCGGCACTGCAAACCTCCGGCGCGCTGGGTTGCTCTTCCTGGGCTCATCCCCGGCCCGGAACCCGTGGGAACCTCTGGTTCCAGCGATCGCCGCCCCGGAGACCCTGATCGGGCATCCCGGGGCCTAAGCGCCCTGGAAGCGTCCCCACCCTCGCAGGCCGGCGCTGGGGGGCCGGCCCGGTTCGCCGCTGTGAGCACCGTTAGAGAGCAGATTAGAAGGGAACAGCGGCCGACCCCTGTCTCAGGTTGTCACTCAGACTGGTCCGTAACCTACAAGACTGTGTGCCTGCTCCTCGCCATCCCTGACACTCAAGCAAAAACTTCCCAGGCCCAGACACACTTGGGCTCCTAGAAAGAAAAAAGATCGTTCTCCCTAGACAGACCTTCCCACCCCCTGAAACTCTCCCACCCTTAAACCCGTCCCAGCCTGTGCCCGAGGGCAGATTAATCTGAAGACAAAGTTTCTGGGAAAGAATGGGGTAATTTAAATATTTGCACAGACTTTTTTATTTTTTTTTTCTGTTAAAAGGTGATGAAATCTCAGAAGAATCTCAAGGCTGTTCTGCCATCACCATCTTCAGGGGGATAAAAATCGAGAGAACACTTATTGTAACAGGAATTGTTACTGAAACAGCGCTGGGGGTGCTTCGTGGGCTCTCTAGGGGTCCGAATGGATGAGTTGAGATGCGGGGGGGGGGGGGGGGGCGGTGGAGAATAAGGGGGGGGTCAGAAATTGAAGATAATGCTACCCCACTGAGGCAATTGTGATGGCATTTCACTGTTTTCTGTGCTGATAAAATCCTGATTTGCTATAAAACATAGTCAATTGTATGCACTTTTTCTCACATACAATTTCTCTTGAATCTCCAATCCCACCTTTTGAATGAGTTTCTTCCACTTTAACTAGCATAGTTGTCATACTGTCCGCAATAAAATAATAGATGCTGGGCCCGTGACACAAGGCAGTTTCACCTCCTTGTGAGGACTGTCTTCTCAAGCTAACCCCCTTCCTCACCCCCCCCCCCCTCCTGCTGACCTTCATTGGATCATCCCCACCTTTTTACTCCTTCCATCTGAGTTCCATAGACAGAAACTACTAAAACTGCTCGCTCTCTAAAAAGAAAAGCCAAACCCCAGATAGAAGAAAATACAAAAGTGTGAAAAGAGGTGAGAGCATGCAGTCTTCAACCTAAAGAATTTTAAAACTTTTCACATTTTTTTTCACTGATCCTTTCATGGCAATCAACCATAAACTATTGAGGAAGGGAGGGTAACCATCAAGACCCAATTCTCTCCCTGGCTGGTTTGGCTCAGTGGATGGAGCATCTGCCTGTGGACTGAGGGGTCCTGGGTTCACTTCCGGTCAAGGGCATGTACCTTGGTTTCCGGCATATCCCCAGTGGGGGGGGTGCAGGAGGCTGCTGGTTGATGTTTCTCTTTCAGCAATGTTTCTAATTCTCTATCCCTCTCCCTTCCTCTCTGTAAAAAATCAATAAAATATATTGTTTTTAAAAAGACCTAATTCTCACCTTAGCTGGTTTAGCTCAATGGATAGAGTGTCAGCCTGTGGACTAAAGGGTCCCAGATTTGATTTTGGTCAAGGGCACATGCTCAGGGTTGTGGGCTCCATCCCCAATAGGGGGTGTGCAGGAGGCAGCCTATCAATGATTCTCTTATCATTGATGTTTCTATCTCTCGCTCCCTCTCTGAGAGAAATAAAAACACATTTTTAAAAGACCTAAATCTTGTGTTATCACAAGAATGCCTCCACATGTTTCATCCTATTCCATATTAGCTGTGGGTTTTATTATTTTTAAAAGTAGGTTTAATTATCAAGGGGAAAAGTCTACTACCCGACTCATTGATTAACAATCAAATAAGATGAGATGGCATTTGGGGAAATGGATTAAATAGAGCTGACACTGCATATCAAGGCAGCTTCTCCACTCTGACTATCACAATCTTCTGAAAACCCAGACTGGCATGGATACATAAATACAAATAATTGGCTTTTCACTGCTTTTTGAGCTATGGCACTGTTATTGCTCAGAAGTTGCCAGAGAGCAATGTTTTCAATACATACTCAGCAAGTATATATTATTGCTGAGAGTTTGGGTCACAAGTCATATGTTGACTAAAAGGATCTCTGCTTCCCAATCCATTCCTTTTATTTGTCTCAGAGAAGTACTTGTTCATGGACTTTTTCAGTTAAGGAAGATAATGATATTCTTAAAATACTATTAATGCTATAATTTCATAACAAGCAAATGAACTGAGCCTCACACAAATCATAGTCCCCACCTTGAATTCTTTTTGTACAACTCTCACACTTCCTTTTTTTATTATTATTAGAGAGAGTGGAAGGGAGGAGGGAAGACAGAGAGAGAAACATCAATGTGAGAGAGATACATCCATTGGTTGCCTCCTGCAAGTGCCCTGACCAAAGCCAGATATCAACATACCCATAGTAGTTCTGCTTCCCTGATTGAGTTCTCTGCCAGTGCTTCAGCTTGTGGCTGATCTGTTCTGGAGGCCTGCACTGGGTCAGTCACCTGGAGACAGTTAACATTAAGGCAGGGCCAGTGGCTCAGAGACCTGGAGAGGCCCAGAGCATCTGAGGAAGTGCTCTAGCTGTGTCATAAACATGCAACACAAATAGTCATGCTTTGCTTTGGACTTGTTCATTGAGAGTGTTTGGCCTTGAAACTAATTTATTATTACTAAACTAACCTACTTTGGTAAATCACCCCCATATCATCACAATGGAATATTTTATCTTTGTTAAGACATCTTTTTTGGCTCCTTGAATAGAAAACAAATCAAATCTCACTTGGCAATTCTGACTAGTATCTCCCCTACCTATGAAAGCATCCTGAGTTTCTCATTTTGTTACAAATTTGAACTTGAGCATAAAGGTGAACATTCCTTTTGTAATGTACCTTTGTAAAGTAGTTGATTATTTTGTGTTTTGTTTGTTGGGTCTGTGTGTTTTTGGGAATGTGGTTTTGTTTTGTGGTGTGTTTCCCCCCCCCAAATTTACCATTTTTACATTCCAAATTGATTTTCAAAAAGCAAACTCTTTGAAATAATAAGTCCTGCAGGATGGGTGTAATATTAGCTAGGGTTCTAAAATGAGGGGCCTTCATCACCACATGTACTGCCAACATTTTTCTTACCAACAATATTGCCATCAAGAACACCTGGTAGGCAGCTGGCAAGCACAGAAGCCTATCTTCAGGTCCCAAACTCCGTTTAGTCCAAAATCCTTCATTCCCACACTCGTGATGTGCCCAGAGGAGGGAGCCCAGGGGATGTTATTATATTCCTTTCACAGTGCACCTTTCATTCAGAATGCCCATCAGACTAGGATTTTGTTGAATTTATAGATTGTTAGGGTAGAAGGTTGGATTTTGATTCATTTAATTAAATTCAATAAACATTTATTGAGTTTCTGCTATGTGTTAGACATTATTCTGGGTCCTTGAAATATAAATGAGCACAGAAAAGAGTGTGAGGAGAAAAAAATAGTTGGTGGGGTGGGAGGTTGGGGGGCTGATCATATAGGGTCCAGAAGCCTTGTGAGGACTGAAATTTGTTCGGTATGAGATGGACAGCTATCACAGGTCCATGCAGTGGAGTGAAATGACTTGACTTAGGTTTTAAAACAGCTACTTGGTGTGTTTGTGTGTGTCTCAAGAACAGGCTCTAGGGAAAAGGGGTAAAAGCAGAGAGGAAGCTGTGCCATCATCCTGATGTTTTGGCCAGGTGGTAGAGTGGTAAGAGTTATGAATGAGACTTATTTTCATTGTACTATTCATCTTGTGGTAAGATTTTAGGGAGGAAACGTAGGGCCCTGCTGCCTCCAGATATTGGGGAATGCTGATCAACTGATAAAGATCCTAATGCCTGAGAGAGACTGTTACCAGGGTTAAATACCATTATCAGCCCAGCAACAAAACAGTGATCCATTCTTTGGGCATTTTTTTAAATCCCCATTGGAGGATATCTTTTTTTCATAGATTCTATAGAGAGAGGAATGGAAAGAAAGAGAGAAAGAAACATCTACAGGAGAGAGAAACATCAAATGGTTGCCTCCCATATGCGCCCTGACCGGGGATCAAACCTGAATTCCTCGGTGCATGGGATGACACTTGAACCAACTGAGCCACACCAGCCAGGGCCTTTGGGCATTTATAAAACACATGGAAACACGAATACTCAAACACAAGATCAGGCCACATGGGAAAGTGGACTGTTTGGGCATATACATGAAAGACACCTTACAATCACAAAAATTCAAAATGAAATTTCCCCCCAATATTGTTCAATAAAATTAGCTTTGCTTCATATCCCAGGGCCTCATTTGAAAGCCAGAACTTCAATGTAAGCAAACTCAGAACCAGGACATATTTAGCCCAATCTCTTGCTGAACTAGATTCTTAAAGTGTACTTACTATTAGTTGAGTTCTCCTTACTCTCTAGAGGAGCTAAGGGAGCAACAACCCAACCTTCTTGATGGACAAGGATTCTAAGGGCATTGAAAGTTTTCTAAGAATAACTAGCATAGGACTGGATGCTGCTAATCTGAGGCACCCAACATCTTCCTCCCAGTTTATGGAAGGGTCATTCATTTACCTGTGTTTGTCTCTAGACTCTCAACTACTATAAGGAATGAGGATGTAGTTCCCAGACATGCATTTTAAAGACATTAACTTACAGAGTGAGAAAGTCCTTTCAACTCTCTCTTTCTCTTTTTTTGTTTTTTTTTTGTTTGTTTGTTTTTTTGTTGACCTCAAGAAGTCTCAGTTT